AAATTTATGCAAACATCACACGGTATGGAATGCCGTATACATCTATGTGACATTCTACTCATTATTCGAAATGCTTCATAGATTCTAGACTATGGACTTACCCTACGAGCCTTAGCAATACTAGAACAACTGACTATACAGTCTTTCATAGTGATGTTATAGACCGGTGAATCCGTCTTTGGAATCGGTTCGCTTCGTTTCATACAGTGTAGAATACATAGTGGTCCAACAATACTAATTTGAAAGCAAAGAGAAAAAAAATAAGAAATGTTTCTGGCCACACACCATTCAACCTTTTTATCATCAGACTTTCTCACCCAAATTTTTCTGCACTTTTTTTCTTCAATATTTCTGTCAATGAACCCTAATTTAGGAGCCAACAGACAAAATTTGAGTCAATTTTCAGTTTTTATTCAAAAAATTTGTCCTTTTTTGTCCCAATCTTTTGAAAGAAAAGTGCAGACTATAAACAGAACTATTTTGTGAATTTTTGATGAAAAGATTGAACAGGTAGCGAAAAGGTTAAAACTGTATGTGAAAAGGGCTATTCCACTTGTTATCAGTACACCTCGAAATGCTTATGGCAGAAAAATAAAATCCCTAGAATTCTGACTGCAGATGATGAAGACTGAACTCTACAATAGTACATGTTGCCTGTAATTACCCACAATCCTTTGTTGTATGTACCAGTTAAATATTGATTGGTAAAAGTTGACTGTTAGCATTCTGCAAACGTACATTTTTTTCAAAATGTTTTTCTTTTTTGCTTTTTCTTTAAATTCCTTAATAATTTGATGTTTTACTTGAGTAGTAGTGTTTTTTTGTCAACAGGAAACCAAATTTAGTTTATAATAACCATACTATGTAATTCTTAGATTAAGGAAATCCCCAGCATTGGCTGGAATCAGAATGAGAATTTTAATTTTCAGCTGAAAGTAAAGTAGCCGGGGTCCAAGCTGACATCGTTAACAACTTCCGAGTCTACGTCCAAGCCACTGGTTCTGCTGGGCAACAGGGCAGCTCACTCAGAGCAAACCCAGCCAATCGTGTTAATCGTTACATATTACTTCGAACACTTGGAGAAACCACTTCGGATTTTACGATTGTACTGAAAAGAGTCGCGAACATGCCGCATTGGAGACATCGCAAGTTGTCTCCCTTCGACCATACACTGATACAGACTTCTTGCAGCAGACAACAATGACCCAACAGCGTATTTACTACCGGTGAATAAACACGATTTGTATTCTTACCCCCCCCCCACCCCCCAAAAAAATTTTCTCCTCGGATTTAGATGTTTCAGATAATCGACCCTAGGGGCTTGGAATTACGCGGATCCGCCGAGAATTCTCATCCCTGCATTGGTCCAATGGAACAAATCATAGAGAATTCTGGGTAATTTGTAGTGATGTGTAGTACTTTAAAATACTTTATTTTAGGTGAAATTAATTTTTGCTGAAAAGACATTTTGGGTGTTTTGTATGCATTTATTTCCACTGGTTTTTGAAGAGATGAATCATTCCTTTAGCAAAAATACAAAAAAAATAAATTCTGAGTGAAAAATATAGTATTTTATAGTATAAAATTATTTTAATGGAAAGCTTGGATTTTCGCCATTTTATAGTGCATTACTGGCTGCAAGTAAAGCAACGTACGACTTGGACATGCATTGTAAATGCATTAAATATTCACTTGGTTTTAATTTCAATATTTTCAATGATATTCAAAAAGCACTAAATTAAATCAATAACATGCGAGTTTAAAAACATGTGAATATTTGCTCAAAACATGGAATTAGAAAAAATAAATATCAGCGAAACTACTAGTAAATGGTTTTACAATATGTGGGAAATGTACTCAATAATTGAAAATTCATTAACGAGGGGTGTAAATATAAAGTGGAATAGCCAATTATACTTTTTAACCAAAAACCAGTGAATATGGGCTAAAAACATAAAAATAGAGAAATGAAATGCAAGTGCAACTAAATGGTTGTACAATACGTGGGAAATGTACCAAATAATTAAAACTCATCAACAGGGGATATAAATCTAGGTAGATATAAAGTGAAATAGCCAACTAGATTGTTCAGCCACAGTAAGTACTGTGGAATACTTTATTTTCGCTGGAATTAATTTTCGCTGAAATGGCTTTTTGGGCGTTTTGTATGGAATTTATTTTCACTAATTTTTGATGAGTTTAATGTGAAATATAGGAAAAAAAGTATATTCGCTGGATTTTATTTTCACGGAATCTTTCCTTCAGCGAAAATAGCGAAAGTAAATTCCAAGCGAAAATAAAGTATTCTACAGTATTACAAGGGTCAAAGGTCATACTCACCGGCATCCCAGTTTAACAAGATGTTCAAATGCTTCTCCTTCGAATGGATCACATGCATAAAGAAAACTGTCCTTTTCAGTCTTAGATATGATATCCTCTGTTGACACCATCTGACAGGGGAGGCCAGCTCTGTCCACTGCCTGAAACAAAAACAATGACAGTCATAAATGCTCCAGTGACACTTTTCCCCCCCATCGCCTCACCAGGAACATTATATCATGGTTTAAACTAAGAGCTGATGGGACGTCTATTTTCAAGGCAAATTCTATATTTTTCTATAAAGACATTGAGACAAGAGAATAGGTGATGTTTCGTTCACTGTGAGATCTAGCATATCACACGAAAGGTATGTACAAATTGTCTGTCACAAAAATCAAACGATTTGATTTTGAACTTGAATTTTTTTTTTATAGTTCAAATGTCTTTCATCTAAGTAAATACGGCGTTGAGATACCCTAACTTCATCAAACATTGAACATCATCAAAAGCACATTATTAAGGGTGAAAATACCCAAAAACTAATTCATTTTTGACTTACTTTATATGATTTTCTTAACTCATCTGTTTGTACGGCAGCCTTTACAAATATTACGTTAGCCATCTTGAACTTTGCCGAGCTAACATTAGAACAGAATGTATATATGTATTAATTGAAATTAAATAAAGAATGAAGGCAGAAGATTCAAGAAAAATCATCGGATTTCAGAAAATCTGGTTACGAAATGCCAAAAAACTTACATTTTTGGAACAATTTCTATAGGAATTTCATAAAAAATTAATAGTATTCTCCACAATCTCCAAATAATTCGTTACAATAATAAAAATTCATATTAAAATTAACATCGGGTTAGTGTTAGGGGTGGGGTACAAAAGGAATTTTTTTCTTTAAAAATACAAATGTGACTACAGTAATAACAATAATAGCTAAGTAAACTGGCCAGTCACCTCCCCCACCCCAATGTCAACGTCAATCGAAACCACCATGATCAACAACAGGTATAGATGAATCGTAAGTCTACAACTGACCCTGGTTAGTCACTGTTTACAACCATGATTATACATCATCATCAGTTGTTGTTGTTGAATAAATGTTTTCGATCACATCACAGAACTCTTCTGGTCGATCGAACAGCACAATAATAATAAATTTTTTTATCACGACTGTGTTCGACAACTTACATATTTAACCGTCAAAAAAGGCTTTAATCACGTAAAATACGCTACTTTCTTCAGAATAAATACTTCCAGTCGGCTATAACAAAAAAAAACACTGTTTTGATTCTCTTCAAACGCATCACAATCTGTTGCTCTCAGCAAAATCAACATTTTGAAAGACGACCGCCATCGCCGCCATTTCATGTGAACCGCCTAACTCAGTGAGAAAAGACACTTAGATGAAATTCTTTGGTTCTTTAATTGTATCATCCCGGGTAATGTTTTAATGATTTTCGATGGCGTTGATAACGCTTTGTATGAAATATGTAAAGTTTTACCAACCATATTGAATTAGATAATAAATAAATGGTATTACATTACTATGTGTTTTTAACACTGTCTTGAGAGTCTTTTTTGCTGTGCATTCTGGGATTGCATTGGGGCTTCCCAAGCTTTGTGAAGCGAACTCTTCTTTGTTTGCGGGTTGTGTTTATATCAAGATTGCTCGTTTTTAGATCAAGCTGGTCACACTTTAAACGAAATCAGCCGAACGGGGGTTGTGTACCAACCTTTGTGTGACCTCTGGAGAAGTTTTGATAACGTGATTATCTGCGTTAGTTGTAAAAATCGTTAAGCAAAACAGCGGCGATGCCGACCGGGATCCCCAACAGCCGATCTCAGAGCATGTCGTACCAGGGTTACCGAAATGTCGGGCGTTCCGGTACTATAACCGGGACACCACCACCACGTAAGTTGTAATTTATGCATTTATTTATTTATTTTTATGTGTTTTAGTGTACATAACCAGTTAAATCGGTCGCAAAGAAGGTTTTATTTGTACTTCCGGTTTTGCCTGTGACACTATCAGTATCATTTAAAAAAAAAATATTACCTCTTCATATACATGGCTCAAAAATAAGTTCTGGAGTTGTTTTTGGATTTTTTTTTGAAATATCACGTGATTCCTGATAATGAATTGAGCATTAATTTGTCGTCTGCGACTGGTGAGATTGATATATACAAACACAATATTATCATCAACCATGAGGGCAGCACATAATAAAATGCCCTTAAAAAAGAAGGTATAAACTCGAGTTGATGTATTGTTGTGTGGAGAGTTATAACTCTTGACTTCACAGTTGCTTAGGTGCCCCTCATTCAAAACTCAAATTTACATGATGATTTCATGTACATTATTTTAATCAGTATGCAAATTAGCTACAACCCAGAGACAATTTTCTGATACTGTACAATGACTAATTTTCACTGGGTTTAAATTTCACTGATTTACCATTTCAGGCATATTTAGTGGGTTTTAAATTCACGGTTTCGTCATTTAGATAATGTGTTCTATGCTAAATTTTACATATTCACTGTGTTTTAATTTAGCGCATTTCTCCAGTCAGCGAAATAAGCTAAATTAAAACCCAGTGAATAATTACCCCCTTTACAGTATTGTGCATAGACGCCAACACCGGTTGTACATTTCCCATCCAAGTTTTCTTGTCTCATCATTTGTGACAGAACACATAGTAATGTAGAATACTTTATTTTAGCTGGAATTAATTTTAGCTGAAGAGACTTTTCGGGTGTTTTATATGGAATTTTTTTCACTGTCTGATTTTTGGCGAGTCGAATGTAAAATCTGGGGAAAAGAGTGTATTCCTTGGATTTTATTTTCACTGAATCATTCCATCAGCAAAAACTGAAAATAAAATCAAAGCGAAAATAAAGTATTTTTCAGTTTGACCAGATCTGTTGCAGTGTTCCTCCCTGGAAAATTACATATTGTATTGGCCAATTTCCCTAACAATATAGTATATAAATGACATATATTGTATTAATTGTTATGATAAATTGGTAATAATGTTTATCCAAAATTAAACAGTTGGGGAACCCCCACTCTGTAATGCTCTGGGGAGAACCCTGTGTTGCATACATACATCTTTAAAATTATTTTCTGATTGTCTGTTTTCAGGTGTGACTAACCAATACAACCATCCAGCATTCCATTCTATCAAGTTTGGAGTTCCTAATACCAGAGTGAGTCTTGTTGGGTAATTTTTAGAGTCAATTCAAATCTATTTACAATATTATACCTGATTGGCTGCCCAATCCCTACACCTAACAGTCAGACCAATCAGAGAGCAGCTTAAACTCAACTGCAGTTAAAAAAGCATTAGAGTTGTCACACAGTATCACTGCTACAAGAGCAGTGCGCCCTCTAAGTCAATATGAAATATCACTGACACAAGTAGTTAGGGGTATCCCCCGGTTCAACAAAGATCATATATTGAGTATCATCAGGGGTACATTACTTGGGGTTTGCTAGTAGCATGACATGATACGATACCAAGATCTCATTTCAATCTCGCTCTCGCATAAGCGTTCCCAACTCAGAACAATGCGAATGCTCATGCCCAAGGTAACTTAAACTAGGTTACTCGGTAGTCGAGGTGCATCAAAATAGCTGCCCACGATATGACGGATTACAAGAACTATATTTACTGTACATTTTCGATGTACAGTGTATTACATTTTTTCACTATCGTGGTAAGACGCGTTTTATTACAAACCTTGAACATTGATATATGTCATGTCAGAAGGTCATAGCCTAAGTCTCGCTATCTAAGAGATGAGACTTGAATGGTATCTTGTCATAGTACTATACATGTTGCAAACCCCAAGTAATGTACATGTACCTCTGAAATCATACAGTACAGTCTAACTGTAACTCTACATTTACTTGACTGAAAGTTACCTTAGATTGTTTTCAAAACTGTCACATACATGTATTTAAATTGTGCCGAGAAATTTGCATAAATATGTCTCATATTAGTAATATGCATGCAATAGTGCTCTCTTTGAAAATTGCAAGTTTTTTTATGAGAAAGTAAACCCAGCTGATAGCTTGAAAGTAAAGTTATACCATCAACTGTATACAGTACATGCCTTTATATTGGAGATGCACTAAAAAAATACAGTAAATGTAACAACTAGGAACGGGAATATTTGTCATAACAACTTATATCGTAACATAGCACCAATGTCCAAAGCCCCCAGATAAGCCCATGACAGTCTTTATTTTTGTTGCTTACCCACAGCATGAGGAAGGAGTACCCAAACCACCAAAACCCCCAGATAAGCCCATAACATACCGGTAGTCTTTATTTTCATTGCATACCCACTGCACGAGAAAGGAGTACCCAAACCACCAAAGCCCCCAGATAAGCCCATAACAGTTCTTATTTTTGTTGCATACCCACAGCATGAGAAAGGAGTACCCAAACCACCAAAGCCCCCAGATAAGCCCATAACAGTTCTTATTTTTGTTGCATACCCACAGCATGAGAAAGGAGTACCCAAACCACCAAAGCCTCCAGATAAACCCATAACATAGTGAGTCTTTATTTTTGTTGCATACCCACAGTATGAGAAAGGAGTACCCAAACCACCAAAGCCTCCAGATAAACCCATAACATAGTGAGTCTTTATTTTTGTTGCATACCCACAGTATGAGAAAGGAGTACCCAAACCACCAAAGCCCCCAGATAAGCCCATGACAGTCTTTATTTTTGTTGCTTACCCACAGTATGAGAAAGGAGTACCCAAACCACCAAAGCCTCCAGATAAACCCATAACATAGCGAGTCTTTATTTTTGTTGCATACCCACAGTATGAGAAAGGAGTACCCAAACCACCAAAG